TATATGTAAAGCGTTGTGTAAATTGACAGTGCTATATAAGTACCTGAAATAAATAAATGAGTGTTTAACCCTCTGTATAACCGGTCTGTAGAGATAGCGGTATACTGTCAATTAACCAATCATCCTAGTGTATTGCTGAGTTTCCTCTTTCTCTGTATAAAAAGGAGGTGGTGGCAGTGTGAAGGGTTAATTGCATAATTAACCTGACCCAGTAACAAGCGCATTCAGGCTGCCGGTACATGTCGATCTGCGGTCCATTAGCTGGAAAATCGTTGTGCTGGGTGTGGCATTGTTACGCACATGACAGCACGGTTTTTAGATTGGCTAGTCCTTTGGTCACGAGTTTGGTGAGAGGGGCTGGGGTCTGACGCCGCGATCGTCACAGAGGCCACTGACATTTTTTCCCTAATCATCTTTTCTGACTGTTTTTAACTAGTTTGGCATTTGGCTAGGGTCAGTGTCACTACTGGTAGCATGAGGCCATACCTGGACCCTACAGAGGTTGCACAGGCAGTCCAACTCCTCCAGGATGGCACATCAATACGTGCCATTGCCAGAAGGTTGGCTGTGTCTCCCAGCACAGTCTCAAGAGCATGGAGGAGATTCCAGGAGACAGGCAGTTACTCTAGGAGAGCTGGACAGGGACGTAGAAGGTCCTTAACCCATCAGCAGGACCGGTATCTGCTCCTTTGTGCAAGGAGAAACAGCACTGCCAGAGCCCTATAAAAAACCTCCAGCAGGCCACTGTGAATGTCTCTGACCAAACAATCAGAAACAGACTTCATGAGGGTGGACTGAAGGCCCACATCCTCTAGTGGGTCCTATGCTCCCTGCTCAGCACCATAGAGCTGGATTGGCATTTGCCATTGAACACCACTAGAATTGGCAAGGTCCACCACTGGCACCCTGTGCTTTTCACAGATGAGAGCAGGTTCACCCTGAGCACATGTGACAGACATGAAAGGTCTGGAGAAGCCGTGGAGAATGTTATGCTGCCCATAACATTGTTCAGCATAACTGTTTTGGTGGTGGGTCAGTGATGGTCTGGGGGGGCATATCCATGGAGGAACGTACAGACCTCTACAGGGTAGACAATGGCACCCTGAATGCTATTAGGCCATTGTCAGACCCTACGCTGGTGCAGTGGGTCCTGGGTTTTCCTCCTGGTGCAGTGGGTCCTGTTTTCCTCCTGGTGCAGTGGGTCCTGTTTTCCTCCTGGTGCAGACAATGTCTGGCCTCATGTGGTGAGAGTATGCAGGCAGTTCCTGGAGGATGAAGGAATTGACACCATTGAATGGCCACCAAACCTAAATCCATTAGAAACACCTCTGGGATGTTATGTTTTGGTCCGTCCAACTTGCCAGGTTGCACCTCAGACTGTCCAGGAGCTCAGTGGTTCCCTGGTCCAGATCTGGGAGGAAATCCCCCAGGACACCATCCGTCGTCTCATTAGGAGCCTCCCCCGACATTGTCAGTCAGGCATGCATACAAGCACGTGGGGGGCCATACAAACTACTGAGTATCATTCTGAGTTGCTGCAATTAAATTTCAGCACAATGGACTCGCCTGCTGCATCACTTTTTCACTTTGATTTTCATGGTGTCTGAATTCAGTCCTCTGTAGATCGATCATTTTCATTTCCTTCAAACGATGGGGCGTCCTTACATTGCCCTGTCCATATCAGTATACATATTCAGCAAGAGAGTTTTCCCCATTGAGATCTGATGGGTTTTCAAAGTGTACCTCTCATTTTTTGAGCAGTATATATATATATATATATATAAAACGTTTTTCATCATCTCAATGGCACGCCCCATTTTAGGGCTGGACATGTTGGGTATCTATTGACTTGGCACAACCTCATCTTTTATATTTTACTAACAAATTGGTAAAATAATGTATTTGTATTCTCAAAAATTCAAAACTATCACCATTGTATTCTCCAGGGCCTCTCCTTTCATGATATATATGTTTGGGGGTTTAAACTAATCTTCAGGCCCAAAGTCTGCGGTTTAATATGTACGCAAAAGAAAAATGCAGAAACAGCTCTGGCAGTGAGAGGGTTAATGTGGGCTAGATGGGATCACTCTGCTGGGGTCACACTGTACACATTAGAGCTCCCCCTAGCTGCAGCCTGGTAATAACATTGCTGGGAGGTCTATTCACTGCTACATACTTCCCACCTTTATAGAAAACATATTCTGCAGCACAGTGGCTCAGTGGTTAGCACTTCCTCCTAGCAGCTCTAATGTCATTGATTTGAATTCCAACCACTTCCCTACCTGTCTGGAGTTTGCATGTTCTCCCTGTGCCTGTGTGGGTTTCCTCTGGGTACTCCGGTTTCCTCCCACACTCCAAAGACATGCTGGAAGGTAATTGGCTCCTGTCTATATTGGCCCCTAGTATGTGTGTATGTATGAATGTTAGGGACCTTAGACTGTAGGCTCCTCGGGGGCGGGGACTGATGGGTAATATGTAAATTGATGGCCCTATATAAGTATCTGTAATCATCTAGGAGTCTGTTCATAAAACAATTGCACAGCAATACACCCGGTGAATGTGCCTGTCATTCCCTCTGTGTGAATGGGATGGGGGGAGTAGAGGGAGTAGGCTCTGTGCTGGGCGGGGTGAATGGTTTCCATGGATATAAAATGGAGAATACCACATTTGGCAATAAAATGGTTCTAATTTTCTGATACTTAGCGCCATCTAAAGGCCAGAAAAGTATGGCATTTATTTCTTGACTTTGTAAAATCATCCTTGCCCCTAGGTGGATGCTGCACCCATCCCCCACCGGCTCCAAGTGTGAGAACTCAGCGATCATGTGATTGCTGACCATGAGTTCTCACAGCCGTTCTGAGCAGAGAGTGGTGACTGTCAGTCACCGCTCTCTGCCCTGCCCCCCCCCCCCCCCCACATTCACTGGGCTGTGGAGGGGGAGGGCTGCGGCTGGTCCAGACTCTGATGTCAGGATCTTTTCCAGCCTGGACCGGCTGAGTGACGTCAGCTGACAGCGGGCTTCACCTGAAAACGGTCACAGGAGTTCAGAATGAACTGCACTCCTCTGATCCACAGGAGAAGTACAGACAAAAGAGCTTTGCCTGAACTTCTCCTTCAAAGAATATGTTCCTCCAACATGTCCTATTCCTGATCTGTGCCGGCTGTCCCATGTCCTGGTATGAAGACGTCTCCTCTCCTCTCTGTATTGCTTCCTTTGTGTGAGATCCCCGGTGATCCTGCCAGTCCCTCTGATTTCCTATTAAAAACTGACCACAGTAGGCATGAGAGTTCAGCATGGTCAGTTCTGTAGCTGTGCTGGGAGCTCAGTCTGCTCTCCTCCAATCATCAGACTTGTCTTGACATCTCCCCCCCCTGCACAGCCATTCACTGGGAAGACCAGGGAACTGAAGACAAGTGATCCATGAATAGTAGTAAGGAGAATGTCATTTCCTGATATCATTGCTTACTACCAATGAAATCTGTGAATGATGACAGAGGTCACATGGTACAGGGCTATTCCCAACAGACTTGTACCATGTGACAAGCTGGGACCAATCACAGCTCTCACAGTATTTCTCAATGGCTGCAGGAATGCAGCCAGAGAGAACGAGAAATTATTGCTTTTACAGCCTTTATGAGTGTAATAAAAACATAAATAATAATATAAAAAAATAAAAATGTAAAAAATTTTTTTTAAAAAATAATTTTTGGTTATAAACTAATTTTTTTTTTTTTACTAAAACGATATCTGAATACATTTTGGCCAAAATTTATGAAGAAAGATTATTTATTTGCAATATTTTATAAGAGAAAACCCTTTTTTTACAAAGTTTTTGGACATTTTCATTTATATAGCAAAAAAAAATTAAAAATTCCGGCAGTGAATAAAAACCACCAAAATAAAGTTTTATGGGTCTCAGAGTGCGGGAGTGTGACCTCAGGGTGCGGGAGTGTGACATCAGGGTGCGGGAGTGTGACATCAGGGTGCAGGAGTGTGACCTCAGAGTGCGGGAGTGTGACCTCAGGTTGCGGGAGTGTGACCTCAGGGTGCCGGAGTGTGACCTCAGAGTGCGGGAGTGTGACGTCAGAGTGCGGGAGTGTGACGTCAGAGTGCGGGAGTGTGACCTCAGAGTTCGGGAGTGTGACCTCAGAGTGCGGGAGTGTAACCTCAGGTGCGGGAGTGTGACCTCAGGGTGCGGGAGTGTGACCTCAGAGGAGGGAGTGTGACCTCAGGTGGCGGGTGAGTGGACCTCAGGTGAGTGTGACCTCAGGTGGCAGGAGTGTGACCTCAAGTAACACAGAGATTTCCTATGATCGCCGGCTCCATCTAGTGGGCACAATGAGGTGATTTTTCTGAAATATCTCCATCAGTAAAACTAACCCAATATGATATTATGGCCACTAGATGGAGCCAATGATCATAAGAAATAAAATACGGCCAAAACTCCTCCCAGCTGGAGAATGTGGGTCACATCAGTTCAACATTGTTCTCCATAGACCTCCAAGTGTTTGTGAAATCTCCCACCACAAAATATACTCAGCCAATCACAGGGCAGGACTCCATTTTTATTCTTCTCCTGCCATCAATGGCCAACCCGGTCCCACACTTCATCCATGTCTTTGGTGACCTCTGATCTCCTTATGAACTGTTTCTTCCATGATGAAGATCAGCCATGGAGTATATCTGAGGTGTATATCAGGGTGTGCTTCTTCCCCACATGAGAGCTGGGATGTCCAGCAACATTCATCTAGAAGACATTTCCCGCACTCAAGGCACTAATACACCTCCGGGGTTGTGTGGGACCCCTGATGTACAGGAAGACAGGACTACAGTGAGGAACATTTCCCTCACTCAGGACAGGAAAGTGGCTTCTCCCCCGTGTGAGATCTCTGATGTTTGTGCAGACTGGACTTCTCTGAAAAACATTTCCCACACTCAGGACAGGAAAACGGCTTCTCCCCCGTGTGAGATCTTTGATGTCTGACAAGTTTTGATTTTTCTATAAAACATTTCCCGCACTCAGAACAGGAATACAGCTTCTCCCCAGTGTGAGATCTTTGATGTGTGTAAAGATTTGATGACTTTGAAAAACATTTCCCACACTCAGGACAGGAATACGGCTTCTCCCCTGTGTGAAATCTTTGATGTTTTTGTAGAATGGACTTCTCTGAAAAACATTTCCCACACTCAGGACAGGAATATGGCTTCTCCCCCGTGTGTGAGTTCTCTGATGTTTTGTACAAACTGGAATGCTCCGAAAAACATTTCCCGCACACAGGACAGGAATATGGCTTCTCCCCTGTGTGTGATCTCTTATGTTTGTGCAGACTGGAATTCTGTGAAAAACATTTCCCGCACTCAGGACAAGGATATGGCTTCTCCCCCGTGTGAGATCTCTGATGTGTGTAAAGACTGTACTTCTCTGAAAAACATTTCCCGCACTCAGGACAGGAATATGGCTTCTCCTCCCGTGTGAGATCTCTGATGTCTGAAAAGATGGAACTTTGATAAATAACATTTCCCACACTCAGGGCAGGAAAACGGCTTCTCCCCCGTGTGAGATCTCTGATGTGCGTGAAGACTAGCTTTGTCTAAAAAAGCATTTCCCACACTCAGACAGGAATATACGGTTTCTCCCCCGTGTGACACCTTCGATGTGTGTAAAGATTTGACTTATTAGAAAAAAGATTTCCCGCACTCAAGACAGGAATACGCTTTTTCCCCCTGTGTGAGAATCTCTGATGTCTGTAAAGATTGGACATCACTGAAAAACATTTCCCACACTCAGGACAGGAATGTGGCTTCTCCCCCCGTGTGAGATCTTTTATGCACATTAAGATAGGATTTAGTACGGAACTCTTCCCGCACTCAGTACAGGAG